GTTTTCATGGCTATGGCAGATCTAGAATTCCCCGTCTCCTGGTGATTGGGCCAAAGTCACCCAGCTGGCTTTCATGGCTATGGCAGATCTAGAATTCCCCGTCTCCTGGTGATTGGGCCAAAGTCACCCAGCTGGCTTTCATGGCTATGGCAGATCTAGAATTCCCCGTCTCCTGGTGATTGGGCCAAAGTCACCCAGCTGGCTTTCATGGCTATGGCAGATCTAGAATTCCCCGTCTCCTGGTGATTGGGCCAAAGTCACCCAGCTGGCTTTCATGGCTATGGCAGATCTAGAATTCCCTATCTCCCGGTGATTGGTCCAAGGTCACCCAGCTGGTTTTCATGGCTATGGTTGGCACTAGAACTCACCGTCTCCCAGGTTTCCAGCCTTGTGCCTTAACTACTAGGCCGAACTGGCTCACTAAACACATGCATAAAATGACCCCATTGCATGCAGTGTTTTCCGGAATAAAATAACGGTATTAATGAAAGGGATAAATAAATCATGTCCTTCTCTCGAATGCTTTTGTATTTGTAGATTGTCCTTCAGAACTTTAGTCAGGAAATACGGCTGCGATTTATGCTACACGCCAATGATCATTGCGGCTGATTTTGTCAGATCTTTGAAAGCCAGGCACAGTGAATTTACGACAAACCAAGGTGCGGTAGGTTGCGTATACATTCTCTCATCCCTCTGGAGCTTTTAAAATCCTTGTTTATAATCCTCCGGCATTTGTCCTCAAAATACCTTTTAGAAACTGCACAAAATCTAATTTATAGCTCAGGAAGGCGCTGATTAGGATCGAATCATTGCACAGAGAAATGAAACAATATGTTTGGTTTTGGACCTGGCATGTTGTTGCAATGAATCCAAGAGTGATTTATTCAGTAAGAAAGACAGAAGAATGACGGAACCAGCCAGGTGTGATAGAGGAATCAGTTTAACAGCTTGTAGTCCTAGGAAGTAAACCTTCAGTCTGTTGCACACCAAGTGTAAAATTGTTCTTCAGTCTACTTATTCAAGTTAAATTATCCTTGGATCAAGGCCTTCTTCTTTTAGTAGGTTTGTAAAGCGTTAATTCTCCAGAAGTTCCCCAAAATACGGATCTCCATATACCAAGAACCTTGTAAAATAGCTGGGACTGGAAGGAGTTTCTAGTCAAAGATATCCATTAAATTTTAAAGCAGCTGAGGTGAACAATTAAAAGTAGATGAAAAAAAATTCAAATTCAAGATACCTGGAGGGCAACAGATTAAAGAAAGCTTAGTATATAGGACTGCAGATTCACACTAAATTCTGGTTTGTTTGTTCCATCCATCTTCTTCTATCTTCTTCTTCTATCCTCTTCTTCTTCTCCCTCTATCTTCTTCGTCCTTCTTCGTCCTCCTCCTCCTCCTCCTCCT